TGCCAAATGCTCAAAGTTGGTGAATTGCAGACTGACAGGAACAATCACGCTGGCTCAAATGCCGTGACTGTCCCATCCAACTCTGACTGACAAAGGACGGCCAAATTTCCTTGAAGGAATGCCACAGAAAGCAGATGTGCATCATCTGCCAGCATGCGTGCCTCACTCTAAGCAGATAGAGATTGCTTGAAAACGTACAGGAAAGCCAGAGGTGACCGGTCAGCCCCCTCTGCAGGGGGCTGGTTATCCTGCAGGCAGGACGAGTACTCCCTGTTGGGGAAGGATGCTGTCACATCCTCCTTACAGACACACGCAACTCCACAGCCAGAAACTGTGAGCGTTCACTGCTCTAAGCCATTCGTTTGTTTACATTTTTCTTTCATGCATCTCTCCTCTCAAGCAAATTCCTTTCCTAAGCCTTAAAAATCTTGAGCGACTTTAAAAATGATGAGATTTTAAAGAAATAATGATTTGGAGGGCTATTTCTTTGGCTTCTGCTTTTTGAGGTTCTCAGTTTCATCTTCAAATTTTTCTCAGCAACCAGAAGGACTAAGAAAACAAAGATCATGTTTTAAATGAAAGCTGAGAATCTCACATAATCATAGGACTCCAGGGGCTTGAGGTTTCAGAACAATCTCATGAGTTGTCAATACTGAATGTCACCAGAAACTATAATGTTATTCTCAGAATAGATTACATAAAAGCAATTGTGGGGTAGTTTTCCTGCTGCATATTCCCTGTAATACCTACAGGTGCTGTCCTCGAGGGACAACCCCAAGGTACTTACAAGTAGTGGGCTGCCATGTGCTGGGTTTAGCTGCCAACTAGAGGAGTCTTGCATTTTGCAACAAATCTGCATGTGCAAAACCTCGTTTTTTGGTCTGTCATCTAAACAAGGTCTCTGAGTAAAATTCCATGGGGAATATTCAGAAATTAGTAGGAGGCAAATTTTACCATTAACTGCCCGTCTCCCCTGTATTGCATATGCTTGCGTGCACTGCAATGCACGACTGCATTGTGTGTTACTGCAGACTACTATCATCTCCCTCTCACAGGCTGCCTTAGATTTTACCATCATCTCCCAGCACAACTTGGGTGAATCTCTTAGTCTGGTTGTGTTTCAGGGATATAATCTATACTGCACTGATAGCTGACACAGACTCAACAGCTAGAACCTGAGTCCTTATAGTCTGTGGTGAACAGAAAGTTACTAAGCCTGATCTGAGAACTGATAGGGAAGAAAACAGGAGGCCGCTTCAACCTCCTCCTCTTCCTGCAGAGCAGGTGCAGCTGTTTGGTACCCTTCCTTATCGTTAGGATATCTGAAAGGACCCTGATCTCCAAGGAATTACCAAAAGGCAGTTTAGCATTAACCTGATTTCAGTAACAGAACACTGGTACATAGGTTTAGCATGCAAATATCCAACACCCACAACAATAAAACCAAGCATCTGTATAAGTCAGTTTGGCACTTCACTGTGCTGAAAAGAAACCTTTGGATCGCTGTCATTTTAAATTTGAGATTTTTTTAGTGTGAGAACGTGCCTAACAGGAATGCACTCTTTTCCATTGCCCACCTTCTCCAAGTATATCAGTGCTATCTTAACTCACTCTCTAAAACTAAAAATGAACACAAAAGTAAAAGATATCATCGGGAAATGCCAAAGGCTCAGCCCTAAAAATATGTTAAACCTCATTTTGAAGGAAATGTGTAATTTCTACATGTAGCTATAGATACAGCTACAGATAGACATGAAGCATTTCATGAAACATGAAGGATGAGAGTGCTCTGCTGCTGTGCGTGTCAAATGTTTCTGTCAGCTTCCCAACGTTTAAAGTCAAGCAATTACCAACGCATATCGGAATATAGTGTACAATGTACATCTATACTGAAAGCAAATACAACAGTTTATCATGTAGGAGTAAGTCACTCTACACTCACGTCACTAAATACACCGCCTCATTGTGCATGCTCCCTCTCCCCAGTTCTTCCTCTTTCTCTAGTTCTTGTGTCAGGATTCTGGTGGCCTTCTGCATCTCAAGGGCTTAAGCAGCAGGTGAGCTACAGCTGTAACCTCAGGTCATTCCCAAGCAAATTTTCAGTCCCATTGCAGCATCAAGGACTTTGCTAGGTCAAACGTTTTCAGGGGGAGTTCTAGCACCATTTTTAATACTTAGATTCTAATCAAAATGTCTGTTTGTTTTTTGTTTAAAATCATTATTGTAACTAGAAAGTGGGCTAATAACAAAGGCATTCAGAAACTTAAATTACTCTAAGACAGGAACTGCAGCAACGTTAAGCTGCACTAAAAGGAAGAAACAAGTTTTGCTGAGCAGTTTCTTTTGCATTAAAAGAACAACTTGGCAACGTTTAGCTGCACTAAAAGGAAGAAAAGTTTTGCCGAGCAGTTTCTTTTGCATTAAAAGAACAACTTTTCTAATTCACTACATGATGAGTTACTGAACGTCCCTGATTGAGGTGTAAATCACAGCTATTACTATTTTGCAGAGAAAATACTTTTGAAGATAAAGAAAAAAGAAAAAGACCCTATTACATGGGGCACGTTCTTTTGTTTGTTTTTGAACAGTGGCTGCTTTGAAGCTGCTTGGTGGTTTAGAGTGACAAAGCCATGTCAGAAGAGATGGATTAGTGGGCAGAGAGCAAGCGATGCAGTCAGAGGTTCACAGTGAATGTAATTTATTGACGTAGCTCCACAATTTATCACGTGGCTATTACCATAATGTATGTGGGAAGCAGCTGCATGCGTGCACATAATGCCCTAAATGTAATGTATGTGTGGTTGGACCTGAACTCCTTACAGAACCGTAGTGGATGAAAATGATACCATAAGGCATTTAAAAGCAAATTTCCTTCCTGTGGGGATGCTGTCATACAGCAATGATGATTTGTACATAGGCAAATAAATATCTTGTAGACTTTCTCAGTTATGATAACCTCACTTACCAGAATTCATTGGCTTTTCAAATCCAAATTGTGTAGGTAATGTGATGTATGTTTCCAGTGCTTTATTAATAGAGGTAAGTACATATGTTTTGCATCTCAAACTCACATTTTCTAGTCAAGGAATAGTATATTTTCCACTCAATATTTAACATAAATATTCAGTGGCAAAGAAAATGAATTCTCCATGTTTGTGAGGAGAAACAAGTTACCTACGAGTTGAAAATTTCCTTTAACTCAAACGACCTCTTACAGCACGATCTATCAAACTCTTAGGAGCAGCACAGATGTAAAAAGTTGATATATATAGTGTCTGCCTGGCTTCTCATACCTGTACAATTATTTACCAAGCCCAACATTTCTAAAACTATTCTCTAATTTTAGGAGCACCTAAATTAAGGAGCTTGATTTTGGTCTCTTTTAGTTGGCTTGAATGCCTACAGTTTCAGTTAAAGAAGAAAGCTGTCAGTAGTTGGTAGAGTTGGCCCCAACCTGAAGGTGTTCCTTGCCGCGCTGTCCATACACGCAGGTATGGACCTGCTGGTATGCACCTGCTGCGTGCGGTAGCAAGGCTCCAGAAATGCTGCCCGCAGCTGCGTGGGTTTGCTGCAAAAACTCCACGAGCCCAGCTCCCACCACCACTTTTTAAGCATCAGCAGTTTTAGTTTCTAACAACAGTCTCATGTTTGGAAATTATGCTGAATTGTACCAAGCAATGATGCTTTCAGGCGACCATATTGGAACCAATTTACTCAAGTCTTTTGTGATCCAGGCAAATGCACCCCAGCTATGGGTTAGCGCACTAAGAGTTTTATGCTGCTTTCTTTTAAGTCATCAAAAGCTGACCTAGAGAGACACTGAATTCAGACAAAGTCAAGTTAGGTCCCCATAAGAACATCTCATTTCCCAGCTTAAGTACTGCTCAGCATTTTGTTTGGCAGAACCTTTCACATTTGGACTATGATGCAGATTTTCTTGGATAATTACATGTGCACTATAGGGCTTCCATTTTGAAGCCATCTATCCCAAATACATACCTACTAATTATGCAAAATTAAAAGCTTGCCTTACCATTGCACAGAAAGTCTCAGGAGGATCTCCACATGTTATGTCTGGGGGATCCAGAGTCACTTTGACATATTTGATCATGTCTCTGGCTTCTGGCTGGCAGGCCATGTAATCCCATACTTTTCCTTCTTCTGTGTAAATCTGAGTCTTACATACGTCATAGTGTCCCCACACGGAAGGGTAGTGCTGCATCACGGAGGATACGGTAACCCAGAGGGCGTGAAGTGACAGGAATCTTGACAAATACATTTCTAATTCCTTTTATGTCACCTTTGTAAAGATGCTTAGCAATGGCGTATGTGCAATCTATAGATTATACATATATGTACATATACATGTATATATTTTATAAAATAGGTTCCAACTCAAACGTGAAGCGTTAGGATTGGGTGTTTGTTTCACTAAGTTGAAGACTTTGGTAGAAGCCACCCAGACCCCGATGACAGCCTTTCACAGCAATGTAGTGCTTGTCCTTTGTCTTGTAACTGATCTGTCAGGGCTTCTCATAAAAGATGTCCAATAGCAGATAATAATTTGTGAAGTTGCGGGTCTTCAGCTACACTGTCGATAAACCTGAGTGATCTTCTGTGTTCGGGGCTCGCAGGGGATGCCCAGACGCACTGATAAATCGGTATCCGAAGAAAAAGGATGAGTGTCTACAGGCTGGTGTCTGTTTCCCATCAATCTTTTCTTTTCCTCTGGCACCAGCACCCTTTTAGAAACAATAAGAGTTAGAGTTATTGTCCAAGAATCAATTCATTACAAAATATATGATATGTTGACATTTTGGAGGTTTGATGCAATATAAAGCAAATTGGTATAATATGGATAACCTTTACTGCGGGTGCTGTGCTGGAATGAACAAGCTACCAAAATTATTCATAGGGAAAAGTATTTTGACATGAAGGATTTAACTCTTCTCTAACAAAGACAGATTTGTAACGTTCCAGGGGAGTTACAGGTTTCTGCTTCCAAAACTGTATTTTCAGCTTAGCAAAACTGGCGAGCAAACTACCAAATGCAACCATTGCCCAGATCGTGCAGGCAGGCAGGCAGGGGAGCAGGCAGCAGCAGGAAGGCTCTTTTATTGAAGTGACACAGAGATGGGTATCAAGGCTACCAAGTGCTGAGTCTGGCAAGAGGACCTCAGCAAGCTCCAAAAGCCTCATGCATTTCTTAGATTTGATTTTTTTTTTTTCAAAGGGTAACAAAGATATTGCAAGCACATGTCCATTGCCTTGAAATTTCTCATTAGCATTGGAAGAGCTTGGCACCTTTTTTTTCCCCTTTGAACTATGATTTCCTGATCACACTGATGAAGACAATGGTTCATTTGTAACTTACTATAAGGATGCTTTCCCCCTCTGTTATGGCAGTCCAGGTTTGGGTATGGGTGCACCTGTGTGTTCAGCGTTTATCTCATAGCAGATAGATCCCCTCTCCTCTCTTCAGAAAGCAACTAGAAATTCCCTTGGTTTGTATCACCTCAATCATATTATTGCAGGTATGAAATCCTAGAATATTATCACAATGACTTAAAATATACGTTTGCTAAAAAACACAGGTAAAAATACAAATTATGTATGAGGGAAACTGCAAAGACGGAGTAAGTTCCCTTAACACAGACAGGGAAAACCAAGGCTAGGAATTCCAGCTCCTTTCTCTCAGCTCGTGCCAGCCGAGGACAGGGACCCTGGGTGCTGGGCTCTCCTGCAGGAGGAGGGTGCCAGCCAGCCACCGCAGCACCTCTGCACTCTTTTTGTCTGGATGCTAAAATCTAAGCAAACTCGTCAGACAGATGTTAAGAAACAACCGTAAGTCACCGTTTTCTGCAGCCTGCTTTGCTTGTTCCCAGTTTTAAATTATGCCCAGTGTCATGAACCTTCCTATGCCCCAAAACCACGGGAAGTGGTACGTGACTTGGTGGGCTCCTTAGCACGTCACTTTGGTAATATGCATTTTCAAAACTTATCTTCAAAGCTATTCGCCAACAGCCTCCCTATATTTAAATAATGCTTCATTTTAAACTGAGCTAAACTACAGACACGATGAAATGCCAACAGATGGTTGAATTGTGTTTCCATAGCAAAGTAATTTACAATAATTGCCGTATGGACGTAAATGCAATTTTCCATTATATTCGTTTTATCAACTGTTACCATACAACTCTCATATTTTATCAGAATATGCAGCGAATATCTGAATTTTCATGCAATAACAATTCTCAATTAGTTCAAATATATTTAAGCTTCAAATCTGAATTTGACACAAAAGCAGAAATATCTAAGACCAAATTAAAATTAAATCCTTAAGAAACACTGCTTTTTAGGTGACCTTACATCCTCTTTTGTTTTCAGTCAGAATGTTTACTTATTATCTTGGAATTCAGTAATTCAGAGAACACTTTCCATGTCATTCTAAAGACACCTCATACTCTTTCCCTCTAGTCCTTTCCAACATATTTTACTATTTTGTAGGGGAAAAACACCCCCCATAGCTTAGAACAGTCATTATACAAAAGGGAAACAACTGCTCTGCTAAAAAAGGAGCCAATTTATTTTAAATTTGTGACAAATCAAAACATACTCTGTACTGGAGAAGGCTTGGTCACAGCTGGAATAAACAGTAGGTGAATAACACGTTTCTGTGTAGAAGTAAGTTGTTACTCAGTTTAATTATCCTTAGACTACAAGCCTGTATATTCAGGCAAAAATAGATTTGTTTGCTTTAATATTTTCCTTGCTAGCTCTTCAGTTACCTGTAACCTTTTATAACTGCTGAGACTCAGATCTACTAATAAACAAGACTAGACAGGACTAAAATAATGTGAAGCAAGCCACTACCTTAACACATTGTGCTAAAATACTTCCATATAACGAATTCTCATTAAAGGAAGCCACAGTCATAATGACGGTCGTTACACAGAATTATAGACTATAACATCGATCGAATTTAGTGCAGTGACAAGGAAAAAGTGCAGAGGAGTGCAAGACATCCGAGCATTAGGCAGCTGTAGCAGTGTACGACAGACATTCCTGACAAGAAGCAGCCAATTATAGCTTAAATTTCTGGCATATAACCAGTTCTGATTAATAGTTTTCCATTACATTACAGACATATTATTAATGTATTAAAAATGTCAAGCTTTGGCAAGAACTAATACGGCATGGCTCAGTTAGTCTGCAATATCTTCTTTTAATGAGCTTCCATTGATACAGAGAAAGATATTGACCAAAGCACATTAAGGATCATGTGCGGAGCGCTGCCGGGGTTTTTCTGACGGAGCTGTATGATTTGTCTTGCTTATATTTATTCCTGCAGAGTCACTCACAATATGCATTCTACATTTCAGTGCTCTATTGCTAAGGACATATCTACTTGAATTATTCTGTAAAAAAATGTTTAGAATAACATTTCTGAAGTTTACAGCAGTACCAGTCTCATAACACTAAGCCTCTACCTGTGGGCAACACAAAGCAATGTTTTTTTGTCCCCAAATGCCTGTGCATTTGACCTTGCAAAAGAGCAATCAAACAAATCGGGAATAGCTGATGTCTGGTGCCCTGATCCCCTGCACCCCGCGGTGCTCTGCCAGTCGCACACCCTGCGTGCTGGGGCCCGTGGGGGTGGCAAAGAGGGAGCAGAGCCCTTACTGACTGAGGGCGAGGGAACGGCGACCTGCTGAAAGGACATCAGCTGATGTATGCAAAGCCTCCAGAGCACGCCGCTCCTCGAGGTCTCCTTTGTGGGGCGACAGCAGTATGAGCTGCAGGACGTTTTGGGCCTTGAACGTTCCCATGTGCCACAGCCTCTGCAATATGGAAAACACCTTGAGGCACCCGGGAGGCAACGGTGCTGAAGGCCACTTCTGCTGTCTGCGCCTTCCCCCAGAGCACCGCTCCGTCTGCAAAGTGCTGGGCGTTCAGGCCACAGCGAGTACGCCGCAGCCCTTTGAGGAGAACGGCACGCAGCTGACCCCCAGACTAAAGCCAGCTGCGAAGGCGGCTCTGAGCACTCACATCCCTTTCCAGGTGGGCAAGTCACACCTCACACGGTGTTTTAATTCTGCAGCCTGAGCAGATACCCCCGTCACAAACCTGCTAAAATGCTTCTCGGCAGAACCGGTGCCAATGCAGAACTTCAGATCTTGTCAGGGGTTGTTAGCAAACACTCCTCCTCTGCCTCCTTCCATCACCGCGAAAATCCACGCCCTTCCCCAAATACCTCCCTCCGCACGAACCACGTCGGCTGGACGCCCTGCACCAGCTCCCTGCAGGGAAGTCGCTCTGCGAACCATGCGGGTGGGCTCGGGGCCTCCCTCTTTGGCAAACAGCAGGTCCACGAAGGAGGCAATAAAACAACAAGCGATCGCCCCTCGCTCAGACCGTGCATTTGATGAAGTGTACGCTGCCGCCGCGCACCCGTAGGAGCGAGAGCCAAACCCAGTTGTTACAATGCACGGCAGCCTGAGGGGAACCGGCTAAAATCATTAAGCAAGGCAAGGAGTGCTGGCTGTCACCCCCCAGCACCGGCACCTGCAGAACAGTTTTTTTCCAAACGAAATATGTTTTAAGTTTGTATCCCTAACAGCTTCAGCAGACGAACGTATCTAATCGAGCTCAGGTAAAAAGATCCTTTGTGTCCACTCCAGTTATTAATTGCTTAAAGACAATTTAGGGCACATGAAATAATGTGTATTACAAAACAGGACTAATCCTCCCACCTGCAACTTACATTTAATAAAACCCAAGTGTTTTATACCTTACTACACCTAGACGACTTGAGAACCTGGTACATATAAAGCTCCGATATCTAAAAAAAGCCAATCACCCAACCCCTTTTATAAATGCAAAATTATTCATCTATGCAAAAAGAAAGGAACCTGTATTTAACGATTTAAGACACACTCTCTATCAATACTCGTATGAAATACAGTATATTCCAAACAACTGCTGTGGTGCCTTTGCCCTCAAATGCTGCTCCAAACAAAGTTTAGGTTCTATTTTTATCCAGCTTATTTAACTATTTAGCAGAAAAAAAAATTTCTTTGCCTCAGGAGAAATTTAAAATGTCAATACTTAATGGCTGATGAAAATAAAATACAGCGTTCTGCTACCAAAAAACTGGGATTCAGCACTATACTTAAAATATTTATAGTTTTCCCACATCATTCTTTGCTGAGTGACACCCCGCTCTACTGCTGCCATTACTTGCTGGGTATCATCGGTTGTCAGCATATGGAGTAAAAG